ACATTAATGTAGCGTCAAACCTACGTCATATTATCTATTCGTCACTTTAAACGCATGTTAAGAGAGAGAGACAGAGAGAGAGAGAGAGAGAGAGACAGAGAGAGAGAGAGAGAGAGAGACAGAGAGAGAGACAGAGAGCTTATAACGGATAATTATATATTAAGAAGCAAGCGGGCTACAGCAACGACGTAGGTTAATGGACAAATGTGTTTATCATCCGCCCCGTCGAGTTTCCACCTCTGTTGAGCATAGCTATTTGCGACATTCATCTTAATAAATTACTCTCGTCTTCCGTAATTTACCGATGATGTTTCACTTGGCCGCCACAAGCAACATTCACGTGTTTTGCATGAGTTGTGCTGCTGGAATGATATATCAAGGTATGACATACTTGATTAAATTAAGCATCTTTTTCTGAGGTGTATCTAGTATCGGGAGTGATAATCCATGGTCTTGAGAACGGCTATCCCCTGACAATCTTATATAACAGTAGCATCAAAGTTAACAGGAATTATTTGCAAGGTTTAAGTAACTTGAGTAGTTTTAGGTTCCTTGTGCTAAGGTCTATTAAATCCTGGGAAATTTAGGAGTTTACAACGTGGAATAAATTTACAGTGTATCATAAGTTACAATGTTGGACCACGGAGTTGTCAGAGTAGCTGAGTTGTATTGAGCAAAATACAGAATGAGCAAAATCTAAAGACACGAATCAATGTAAGTGGAGCTCCACTTGAGACTCCACTGATCAACACACAGCTGTGGGATAAGAACAAACGCTAGCAGCCATCACGAACGGATACCAGTAGACTTGCGGATGAAGAAGCCATATCAGCCTCATTGTTCATGCAGCGGCTGTACCAGCAGTCACTGTGAGAACATTATATCCTCCCCCGCTTACCTCCATCTGCGTGTCGTTGAAGCACGACGTTGCTTCTGTTTAAGGTTCTTCAGTAGTGTAGTCCAGTGACTTGCATGGCTGATGTCATCTTCGAACTCCCAAGAGGTTTCGCTGTCTGTCAAGTCTACCCATGAACAATAGTTCTGCTTTCGTCCTCCGCGGCGACGCTGGCAAAGCAATTCCCGGATCACATACATTTGTTCGCCATCTTCATCGTACAACCGAGGAGCACTCTTTGTAATTTCTCGACCGCGGAAAATCTCTGGAACACCAAGAGAAAGCTTGAGCTGGTTCAAATTAAATGTGACATGTCGTCCACGGGCCAAATAACGATACGGTAGTGCAATACGATAGGCATATTCTCCGATGCACTTCTCAACTGGAAACGGACCGTACCACTTGGGCAGTAGTTTGTTACGGTTTGGGTCATGCTCTGGTTCATAGTCTGGCTGGCTAAGCTCACTGCCCAGGACTCGCGAGTCCACGTACACCAAGGCACCTTCCTTGAACCGCACTTGCTGTGGCCCCCTATTGTAGTAGTGGGCCTGGCGTTTTTGAGCTAGTCGTAAGTTGCGCTGCGCCCACTCAATCACTTCGTGACGCGATTGAGTCATGTTTTGTGCCAAGTTGCCCGAAGTTGCCAGAATTATCGGCGGACGAGGATTTCGGCTACAATCTACCTCAAACGGAGAAATGCGAGTTGAAGTTGACACTAACGTCGCGTGAGCATATTCTACCGTCGGTAGCATCTTCGCCAAATTATCCCCATAATGAAAAATAACACAGCATAGACTATCCTCCAACTGTTCACTCCGTCCGTCGGCCTGGGCCCTTCTAGACACCGTCATTCGTTGCTTCACCTGCATGATCGTCATCAGCGAGATCCAAAATTCACTCGTGAACCTTCGATCTCGGTTCGAAACAGTTGACTCCGGCAGTGCGTAGTAATGAACAGCATGATCCAAAAACAATCTAGCTGTTGTCTTGGCATCGATACCCTTGGTACTGGGAATATATAGCATGGTCTGTTCGAGAGCCGACACACAACGACATAGATCGCGTCGAAACCTTCATTCCGCGGTAACGGGGTAACAAAGGCCATAGTTACATGCTCCCAACAGTAATCCGGAACTGGAAGCGACTGAAGAAATCCTTTGCGCCGCCGAGATCCAGACTTGTGCCGCACACAAGCTTCACAAGTCGAGATGTACTGCGCAATATGCTCCTGTATTCCTAGCCACCAGGAATACTGACGCATAGCTACCATCGTACGTTCCACACCAAGATGTGCAACTAATTCGGCATCGTGAAAGTCGTGCATTAGCCGGAAAAGAATTGAACCCACTTGAGCTAACCGAAGTACTCCATCTATAAGCTCCTACTTTGCACACACACGGTCATCTTGGCGCTGTAAATCCTGCAGAATCGTAACGTAATCCTCGTCTATTGCGTATGCTACTCTGATGTCTCGTATGAATTCATCATCCACCCCCACCACGCGTGCCCGAAAATACCATGTTTGCAGGTCCTTCAGGAAAAGTCGGCAAAAACGCTGCTGCTCCTTCAATAAGAAGTTTAGCAGCTCTAGTAAGAAAACGAGTCGTGAAGACAAACGAACCGACCGTTGTGACGTAAATCGGAGGGCGAGAAAGCGCGTCCGCCACAACATTTGAGCTGCCCTTCTTGTGCACGAGCTCGAAATCGAAGTTGTCGAAAACCTGGAGCCAACGAGCCATCTTCGGCGATAAGTTCGGGTGCTGCAAGAATCATCGACACGCAGAGTTGTCGGTGTGAACCACGAAAAGAGATCCAAGCAAATAGCATCTCCATCGTCCTAGACAATGTTTTATGGTGTATAGCACCTGTTCGTGAGCGGTCCATGTGTCTGAGAGCTTGCGACTATAAAAACTTACAGGATGGTCGAACCCATTGACTTGCTGACTGAGTACACCTCCAACACACGTCTTCGATGCATCCGTTGTAACTAGAAAAGGCAAGTTCATGTCTGGTAAGCGCAGTATTGGTGCCGAAATCAGTGTCTTCTTAATTGTGTGGAATGCGAACTCTTGATCGGAGCCCCATTTCTACTCAGACGTGTTCTTCAGTAGGTTGGAGAGAGGTAAAACGAGTTCAGCGTAACTTCGCACAAATCGCCGGTAATATCCAGCAAGCCCCAAGAATCGCTGCAAGTCCTTCATGTTTTGTGGTCTTTCCCAGTGTGCTATCGCTGCAGTTTTGTCAGGATCAACTCGAACGCCATCACCACTGACGATGTGCCCCAGAAATCGGATCTGGCGCTGGGCAAAACGACACTTGCCGGGACTCGCGTAGAGTTGCTCCTTCCGCAGAATTTCAAATACTCGACGCAAATGCTGCCGGTGCTCTGCGCGGTCCTTTGAGAACACTCAAATATCGTCTAAGTAGACAACTACAAACCCGGCGAGTTCCTTGTCTGCACAGATCCGACGCATTAGGCGCGAACAAGTGCCCGGCATTGCGGCCAGGCCCGTGGGAGCGACACGCCATTGATAGATCTCCAGCACAAAAAAAACCGTGAATTGGGGCGAGTCTAATGCCATTCGCGTTTGATGATACCCCGAAGCCAAGTCAATCAACGTGAACACATGAGCACCAGCCAGACGATCAAAGATCCCATCGATTCTGGGAAATGCGAGGAATGTTGGTGGCCAAGTTGACGTACCGATAATCAATAACCCTTCGCACGGGCTTCAGTGCATCACCTCCGCGCACCCACTGTATCTTCGTCGGCAACTCCCCCGTCACGCGATATCGTTTAGGTACAGCAAAACTATTTGAGACTCAGGGAGACGAACTGCGTGTAATCCACTTCTTCTGCAAAAGCTTGTCGACAAAAACTTGCAAAGCTGCCTTCTCCACATGTGCATGCCTGAAAGCAGATCTGGAAGACGGAACTGTACCTTGCTTCAACTGTACGGAGTGCCCGATATCGCCCTCAGGAGGGGGCCCTTCTGGAAGTTCTTCGCGTAATGAGCCCGCAAACTCACTGATCAAATTTTCCACGTCGGCACCCATCCTCATCTTGCCTTCCCTCCCCACAACATCTAGATGGTAGACTTCAGCGTACATTCCAGACTTCAGATTACGTTGAAAATCGTCGATATCGACGTACGCGATTGTAGGTTCGGCGCTAGGAGGTGGTGTCCATTCTCGAGACAAATTACGACGAGGAGGGCGTCGCCACGAGACAGTCTTATCCGCCCAGTCAATGTCGGGGTTCTCGCGAGAATCTGCCCAAGAATACCTTCAAAGTCTTGTCGTAATGGCCGCCCAACCACCTCGACCGGACACAAACGGTCTTCCACCACCATGTTCACAGTGGACTTCCGCGAGGTGGTTGTCTACAGCCTTCCTTCAAAGTCGCGAGCCTGAATCCTTTCTTCCCGAGTTCCAGTGGGTGCCGCCAGCAGATCGCGTCGCACCAGAGTCAACTAACATTTTCGGACTACGCCCATTTGTGAGAGCGTCCACAAACAGAAGGTCGTTACCTTCCATTTGCACCTTATCCAAACGAAGATCCATCACACAGACAGACCTTCTTTTTCAGACTTTGCGCATGGAGATTCTGATTCATATCGCTCAACGGAAACTCCATTTACGTCCGTTGAGCTCCGTCGTTTCGCTGACGCTTCTTAGGGCAGTCCGAAATGCGGTGGCCAGATTCGCGACAGTAAAAACAAAGTCGTTGGCGGTGACACTGCTCAAGGGTCGGACGGGCAATCACTTGATATATATCCATGGGCTCGGGTCCATCGCGTCGGGCTGCATGGGATCGACGACCGCCACCAAAATGCGCTCGTTCGTAAGCTTGAGCGGCTGAAATGGCGGCATTTAGCGAGTTTCTGTTGAGATAGTTGACCTCCTTACGAGTCTCGGGCTTCAGGCCCATGATGAAGTGGTCAACCTTGACCAGCGCAGACATGTCGCGAACCTGAGCGATAATTTTGCGAAAGCGAGACACGTATTCCTCGACGTCCGTCGTCTGCTTACAGGAACGTAGCGCGGCACGCAGACGATGCTGCTGGTCAGGAGGAAGGAATTCATCTCGTAGCGCAGATTCAAACTCGTCAATTGAGCTGATAGGCTCCTTGCCGATCATGATGCGGTTATGGTACCATGAGGCCGCACCATCTCGAAGGTTACTTGCCAGCCTAGCAACCACGCGCAACGGATTGGCGGGATGGCCATAGTCAATGTTCTTGCCGTTCATGAACAACTTAGCCTCGAATATGAATTCGTCCACACTTTCTTGTAGCTTGCCGTAGAATTTCGGCATAGAGGCCCCCTCAATCTTAAATTCTCGGCTTGACTGTTGATGTTGAAGCTGATCCATCACGGACGACCGGAAATCATTGTGCTGAGTCGCGACCGTGTGGGAGAGCTCATGAATGACCTGAGTATGACCTTCCAGCAGCGTCATTACGGGATTTTGTTCTTCCATACTTGGCCGAGAATACACAGGGACTTGACCAGACAGGAAACGGGCCCAGTGAACACGGCTGAGTTGAAGTGGACCAACAAGTGCTACCATTTACAATTTTAAACCACGGAGTTGTCAGAGTAGCTGAGTTGTATTGAGCAAAATACAGAATGAGCAAAATCTAAAGACA